GCCAGAGGTACAAGATGGACTGTCATTCCCTAATATGCCTTCACTTTCATACTTCCGATTAAGAATTCACTAATTATTACATATTTTGAAATGCTTTCCTGATCCCTCCACTCCCCCCTCGCTTCACCCTTTAGTACCACACGGCATGTTGCATTCGCTTCTATGATAGACCTTCTCACATTGCCTTGCAGCATTGATCTTTCCTCTATTTCCAAAATGCCACCACTCCCTGTCCCAGTAAAAGCCAGGTAAGCGTCATTTCTATTCATCTTTGCTTTTCTAGAGGCTAACACAGTGTCTGAAAAAAATGTTTCAATAACTGTGTTGTACTTTTTAACCAAATAAATTGTTTAATGTTGCAATACTTCTCATAATTTCAGTTTACAAATACACTTCTTTCTTTTCTGATACCTAAATGAAATGAAAGCAGAAAATGTAATATAAGGGTTAATTTAAGTAACATAATGCATTCTTTTCAATTAAATAAAATAAAATGTAAAAGGTACATTAATAACTAGCCTCCTCTCTTTCACTATTCTATTTTTCTCAACCAAAGACAGCAGGATTCTGAACCACATTTAGAATTAATCAGAAGAAATATGAGACAAATAGAAAAACAACATAATTGTATATGCACTTTTAAACTGCAAAATGGATTATATAAGTCATTTGAGGATCTTTGTGATTCCTTATAGTGCAATCCATTATGTGGCTCACCTTAAATTATAATGTAACACTGAAAAAAATGCCATGGCCCTAAGTAATATTTTGTGTAGATGATGTCATCATGTATTTATAGGAATTAGAATAGTTATTTGTTACTTTTCTTGGAAAAATGATATAAACATTTGAAAGCAATATTTAAAAAGAAATGCATTATGAATATTTAGTTGCTCATGCTTTGTTTGTTTGCCCACCCCTAATATGGGAAGAATTTGATCATAGTGAGTTCATTCCTACAGTTTTAAAACTGCCATCTTTTCCATTTGATCGAACAAATTAAGTATCATCAATTTACAGATTAATAATCATTGCCTTTAAAAATAATGGCCTTTTCCTGCTGTTTCTGGTAGTCTTTTTTTTTTTTTGTGTGTGTGTGTGTGTGTGTGTGTGTGTATACCCCTTTATCCACCTCATCACCACTCCCACCCACCCCAACTCTTCCCCTTAGGTAACCACTAGTCACTTCTCAGTGTCTATGAGTCTGCTGCTGTTTTGTTGCTTCTGTTTTACTTTGTTTTTCTATTTTACTGAGCATAATGCTCTCTAGCTTAATTCATGTTGTTGCAAATGGCAGATTTCTTTTCTTTTTATGGCTGAATAATATTCCATTTGTATATATACCACATCTTCTTTATCTGTTCATCTATTGATGCACACTTAGGTTGCTTCCATATCTTGGCTATTGTAAATAGTGTGGCAATAAACATAGGGGTGATAAGTCTTTTTGAATCAGGGATTTTGTTTTCTTTGGGAAATTTCTAGGAGTGGAATTACTGGGTCAAATGGTACTTCTATTTTTAGTTTATTTGAGGAACCTCCATACTGCTTTCCACAGAAGCTGAACCAATTGGCATTCCCATCAACAATATAAGAAGGTTCCCATTTCTCCACATCCTCTCCAACAATTTATTTCTTGTCTTTTGGATAGTGGCCATTCTAACAGTCTAACCTCAGCACAATGAGGTTATGTCTCATTGTGGTTTTAATTTGCGTTTCCCTGATGATTAGCAATGTGGAGCATCTTTTCAGGTGCCTGTTGGCCATTTGTATTTCTTCTTTGGAGAAATGTCTGTTTCTGGTAAAGTCTTTTTAAGTCTACTTATGATTTCACCATTTTTACTTTATACCAGTTTTCAGGAATGACCATTATGTTCTTTGGATGTGAATTACTTCCCAAAAAGGAGAAGAATATAAATAACACAAATGCTTAACTTTATTTTTTGTGTCATTTTCTACATTTAAATACATTTTTATATTGTTCCTACTAAAATGTCAATTACTAGATAATAAAAGTAAAAAGATAAATTCAGCTGAATATAATGAAGAGAAGGGAATAAAATATATGAATATGATTCAATAATTTAACTTTTGTTTTCTTCATATGTGACAGAAAAACATGTCAACTCCTAATATTTTAGTTGAATGATAATTACTATATAAAAGAGAAATCTAGTATTATTTTGATGCACTCTCAAGGTAAATATCTGCTTTTGTTTTTAATTTATTGTGAGTTCAAAGGGAATAGTTTCATGAGTTTCTGTTAATGATCAGTAAATAAAAATAAGAAGAAAATAGTGAGGAGAGAGCAAAGTTGTAGCTTCTGCTTCGTATTAGAAGCTATTAGCATTAACACATATATCATGAATATCTTTAATTCTTAATTAAAAATCTTGATTAAGATGGAGGGGTTTCTGGTTTTTCACCTTTAAATATTCTTTAACATGGAGAGTTGACTATGATGGATTGACTAATATGTAATAAATACAGATCAGAGGTCTGGAATAATTCTTAAAATATCCACTCCAACTCCCTGAATCTCTGAAGAAGTATACCTAATTTCTAAAGATCTTTTAAATCTTTTTCATTACTTTTTCATTGTGATACATGTCATACATACAGATGCATGCACAGAGCTTAGGTGGTTTAAAGAAATAGCTATAAACTCCCATGGAAACGCCACCCAGATCAAGAAATAGAACATTACTAGTATTCCAGAAGTATTGTCCATGGGAAATTTCATTTGCTTTCTATCAGAACAAGTCTAGTTGTTTTCAAAGTTATTCAAGGAATCCATGTCCAATCATTCTTTTCCCCAAAGTTTCAGACACGTATTATTGGAAAGAGTTAAAATCCACAGAAACCCTGGCTAGCCCAGTGATATTTCTGTTCCTGGTACTTTTGAAATGCATCGAGTGACGTATCATTCAGGTAATTATACCAGTTGATGCATTTGGTGAATAAACTGTAAAGAGCATTCTTCTGCCTGTTTTTAAAATGCAGGGGTTTAAGATGAAAAGTTATAGAGGTCTGGGTGAATAGCATTGACACTGACTATCATTTTTGATGATATAACAAGTCCAGAAGAACTGCAATCAGTTGAATAACAAGATAGAAGGCAGCTACTAGAAAGCAATCTTCAATTAATAAGACAACAGAAAAATGACTTAAGTAATGTAATCAGGTTTCTCAGAAGAAAAAAATGTCTACTGCCATTCCCGACTAGACACTAGATCTTTACATGTACCCCTCAGTGGTCTGCCCATAAAACATGTTGTGTTGCTTTTCTTCATTTTGGCAGGTACAGCACTATGTCCAAACTTGTTTCCTATGCTGCTTTCTTACACTGGGGCCATTTGTTTGGCTCTGTTATACTGTATTTTGGATTATTAATCACTGAGCAGATACTTTATTACTGTAAAAGGAATTATAAACATCACTGATGATGCAGCATTTCCCTCCCCCTCGAGGAGAGCTGTTGACAAGTATGACAATCTGTGGTCAGATTACTGGAACAGAAAGAAAACAGGAAGGAAAAGTAAATTAGCCACCGCAAGTCTACGTATATTTTTCTAAAAAGAGAAAAAAACACACACATTTAAAGGTAGGTATTTATTATAATTGAAGAGTGGAAGAAATAGTTCCCCTTTCAGATTTAGTATTGTATCCCCGCCACTCCTTTATTTTCATTTTCCTTGCCGTCCTGGTTTACTTCCGTGCTCTGTAGCCGATCTGCTTAATAATCATTGTTGCCAGGGCAAAGCTGCCGTCAGCCAGAGACGTGACAATGCACAGAGAGAGATATTTCAGCATTCCAAGACACAGACGACATTAAATATGGTGTCAGACAGACCAGGTCTTTATTTTGACCTATAAAACATAGATGCTATTATAAAAAGTATCACTACACAAAATGTCTTCGACCAGTACCTTTGGATGATATCAGTCTTCGAGGTTTGCAGTATATTTTATTGCTGTATTGTCTGCCTCCTCTCTTTTACATTTGAAAAGAAATCCAAGGGGAATCACTGTACTATATGTCAATTTTGAATCAACTTGTCTGACTTCAGAGGCACCCCTGAATGGACTGTTGTGTTTTCTTGTTAGAGTATATTCCTTAATATATTAAAGGGTCAAGGGTTTTATTATTACTAGCCTGGGGAAGAGCAGGAAATAATCAATATTCTTTTCTAGATCTCTCCCTAGGTGTCTTACAACCCCATCTATTTATTTTTTATTTCTCCTTTACTTCTCCTGGTTGAGGTCTTTTCTAGTTACAGTCTCTCACATCTCATACACAGTCCATTAGGATATCCTATTTTCTCTACCTTCAGAATATACTGAGAATCCAGCCACTTGTTGTCTCAGCTGCTACCACCCTGGATCAAACCACATGGAATAGACAGCAAAAAATAATATTATATACTGTGCTTTTCTTGCTTATACCCTTGCCTCTTCCAGCCTCCTGAGTCCAATCTCAATAGCCAAAGGGATCCTTTTGAAATGTAAATCCTATCATGTCCTTCTCAAACTGCAGTGACTCTCCTTTGACCACCAGCAAGAGTTTCCACAGTGACCTACCTACAAGGCTCTACAGATCCATTCTCTGTTACTTGTCTGACCTGCTCCCCCTACTTGATTCAACCACATATCCTGTCCCCTATGAGTTTTAGTCAATTGTCACCTTTATAGTTTTGCAATGTACCCCCCCCACCCCAGGAGTCCTATTCTGTAGTACCCTGCTTTCCCTTTTTTTCATACAATAGTAACTTATTATGTGTATTTATTGTCTGTTTTCCTGCTGTAATATAAGCTGTATGAAGGCTGGGATCCTTATTTTGCCAGTTAAGCACTTAGAAGTTATTTATTGAGTAAGTGAATAAATATTTATAAAGAAATAAGCCGTGCACCCCCATTTCTTATTACTTTTCTCCTTCCCAGAGTCTCACAGCCCCTCTTTTTTTTTTTTTTTTTTTTTTAGGAGAGCAAGATACAGGCTTTTATTTAGAGATAAAGTGAAAGGACAGAGCACCCGGCTCACGCCAGGAGGGGACAAGAGAGTCCCCAGCCCCTCTTATGTATAACTAGACAAATCAACAGAGCATTATCAGTTCTCTTAGATGTAGCATCCTAAACCAAATATTAAAACTGAAACTTAGAAAGTGCATCTCAAATATAATGTCTTTAATGATATTTAAGTGATCATAACACCCTTATTTCTGTCTCTGTCAAAAACATCCAGAGAGGAGTAACTAAAGAAAGGGAGACACTTTTTAAAAATCTGTATTTAACATCTTCTTTGATTTCTGTGTGACTCTAAGTGGAATGCAGATCTCCTGTAATTTACAGCTTGGAGTGAGGAATGAGAACCTCAGAATAAATGCAGAATAGTATCAGATAAGGAAATAGATCATCATCCTCTGGTCTTAATCCATTTGGGCTGCTACTACAGAAACTATAGACTGAGTAACTATAAACAGCAGAAGGGTATTTCTCACAGTTCTGGAGACTGGGAAGTTCAAGATCAAGACACCAGCAGATCCGAGGTCTGGTGAGAAGCTGCTTCCTAACTCATAGACAGCCATCTTTACGTTGCATCCCTGTGCGGGAGGGCTGAGGGCACTCTCCAGTGTCTCTTTTATGAGAACACTGATCTCCTGCGTGAGGGTGAAGCCCTCCTGACCTAACCATCTACCAGAGGCCCCGCATCCCAACACCATCACACTGGGGTCAGGATTTCAACATAGGAGTTTTGGGGGAACACAAACTTTCAGTCTACAGCATCTGTCTATTCCTAGATTTAGAAATAAAATATCAGGACTAAGGGATGGAAATTCTTAAGAGAAAGTTTGACATTAAAAACCACAAAAAATATGAAAAAAATTAGTTTACAGCAGTATTTTTTTTTTAGAAACAACCATGGCGCATATCGTGGTCTACTTGAAAAGTGTTATTAAGTCAGTAAATTAGAATATTTTAGGTGAATTTAACTAATAACATTTGAAGACAGTAAGGATTCTACAGAAAAGAATAAAGATCTCCTGTAAGTTAATGACAAAATACAGATATCAGCAGAAAATGTAGTGTAAGTATGGGTTGGATTCTGGAACAGGAAAGTGGATTAAAAATTTTACCAAAAAATTTTGTGAACATCTGGCTGAAACTTTTTGCCAAATGTTCATCAATGAAGGGAGGAATCTTTTAATTCAGTTATATCCATGAAGCTGATCACAGTATTATATGCTAAATAGCTGGAAGGTATAGTAGGTACATCTGATTAGGGAATCAACACCTCAAGCATCTGAGATGGGCTGGAGCAAAACAAATGAAATTTAATGCAGTGGTATAGACTTCTGTATTTAGTCCAAAATTGTAACCACCTGAAAGGATGGTACAGTGTGTGCATAGAAGGGGCATTAGAATTCTAAGAGCTACCAGAAAAAATTCTGACGTGAACATCAACTATTTTAATGACTACTCTGACTACAAGGAGTCTTTCTAGCCTTTGTTTTTTTCCCATTTTCAGAAACCACAATTTAAGAGGTCTCTGGACAAATGGAAACTCTTCCCAAAAATATTAGCTGGTGTGACAAAATGAAGGAAGAGGAATAAACTGTCTAGAAAACACACTGCCTAGGCACTGACATTGTGTCTCATTTAATACCCTCCACTCTGCAAGTTGATTAGTGTCTCCACTATACAGACATGCTCGTGTTGTTCAGATGAAGTGCGGCAACAGTGATTAACTTTTTCAAAGGCACACAGGTACCACCTGGCAAACCACCATTCAGACTGATCTGTCTTGATTCCAAATCCATATTCCATCTCATTCTCTGTAGGAAGATTCAGGAAGGACTTCTATAGTTGACTTTAAATATTTTAAGGTTGTCATATCAAAGACTTAGTTTTTCTCTAAGAAAGAAAAAAGTAGACCAAATTGGTATAGGCTCTTGGGAATAAGAACTTACGGCTCAGCAAAGGCACTTCTAGCGGAGGAAGCCCTCTGAGGATAGGGAGGGCTGCTTCATGATATAGTTGCTTTCTGGTCCTTTAGGTAGTCATACAGGCTGGGTGATGCTGGATTCTTAAATTATTTGTCTTTTGATCTCTGCAAGTCTACAATTTAAAAATTCCTACAACCTAACACCAGTACCAAAGCCACAGTCGTAGCATTATTACGATTTTTATTATTTATTTGTGTTTTAGACGATTAGAAGAATATAAAGTCAAATAGTCTACAGTGCATTAGATGCATTATCAAACAAATATACTCCCAAGAACTCTTTGAGCTAACGTCTGTTTACAAATGAGGTTGCAGATTGAGAGTATTTGGAGTTTACCTAGAATAAAATGCCTTATAAATGATTGAACTGGGAATTTAATCAAGGCCCTTTATACTCAGTGCTCTTTTTACCAAAAGGTAATTATCAATAAAACCAACAAAATAGGCACAGTCTTGGGAACATATTTCAACAGAACTAACTCAAGAAGAAGTAGAAAATTAAAAAGGTCTACAACCCTTAAAGAGATTCAATCAGTTATTAAAAACTTATTTACTCCAAATCCTAAAAGGTGTGAACATTTTATATATATTCGGCTTTTTATGGGTATTTGGGTTGTTTCTAGCTTGGCTTTGTTATAAATAATGCTTGTGATGATGAACATTCTTGTATGTTTCTTTTGGTGTTCATGTACACACATTTCTGCTGGAATTAAGTGTAGGAATGGAAATACTGGACCACTGGGTATGCTTGTCTTAAACTTTACTAGATATCGCCAAAAAGATTTCCAAAGTTTTATATTCTCACTAGCAGGACTGAGAGTTCCAGTTGTTCCACTGGTATTTTCAGTCTCTATAATTTTTGTTTCAGCTATACTGGTTGGTGAATAGTGGTATCTCTTTATATATGTATATATATATATTTTTTTTATTAAGGTATCATTGATATACACTCTTATGAAGGTTTCACAAGAAAAACAATGTGATTATTACATTCACCCTTATTATCGAGTTCCCACCCCCACCCCATTGCAGTCACTGTCCATCAGTAGTAAGATGCCACAGAGTCCCTATTTGTCTTCTCTGAGCTACACTGCCTTCCCCGTGACCCCACACACACCATGCGCACCAATCATGATACCCCTCAATCCCCTTCTCCCTTCCTCCCTACCTACCCTCTCCCACCCCTCCCCTTTGGTAACCACTAGTCCCTTCTTGGAGTCTGTGAGTCTGTTGCTGTTTTGTTCCTTCAGTTTTGCTTCATTGTTATACTCCACAAATGAGGGAAATCATCCGTTGCTTGTCTTTCTCTGCCTGACGTGGTATGAACATTTTTATAAGAAAATTCTGTAAACAATTGTAACCTAGAGTCTAGAAGAGTATTTGCTTCCCAAGTCATTTTATAAGGCTTGGATAACCTTGATGTCAAAGCTAGAAAAGTGAGGATGATAAGAGGAAAGTAAAGCAAGTCTTGTAAAGTTTGATGTAGGAATCTTAAATAAAATAATGAAACCGAGTCCAGCCATGTGTCTGAAACATGTATCAGGACCAAAGAAGTTTTATCCAACAAGTTAGAGTAGCTTGACATTGGAAAATCAGTTAAGGTAATTCTCCACATTGATAGATTAAAGGGAAAAAAAACATGTTTTCTTAATGATTTCTTAAAAACAGATAAAATCCAGTGTCCTGTCATAGTAAGAACTGTCAGCAAACTAGAAATAGAAAGTAACATTACTAACTGGATAAAGGGTTTCTACCAAGACCCACAGCAAATGTCATACTTGATGCTGAAACATCAAATTAGAAGTGTTCCATTTACAATGGGAAATGAAACATTCTACTCTCAATTGTATTCACTACTGTACTACAGGTCCTATCCAAAGCAATAAACAATAAACATAAAAATAAAAATATTACATATGTATTTAAATTAAGATTAATGTTACATATAACTATATATGTGTAATTAATATACATTAAAATTATACAATCTTTTCTTTGAAACAACACTAATCCAAACTATTTTTCAATGATGACACTTGGAAAGAAAATTAAATTATCTTTCTTTGCTGTTTTATGGTCTTTATAAATATATTCTTTGTTTCTATTCAAAAGTGTTGATGGAAAAAAACATGGACAAAACAAAGTCTAGAGGAAATCATTATTTTGTCTTGGAAATTCTTGACGTAAAATTCTTTGATTAAAATGTATTGATGGGTATTGTCAATTTTTATAATGAGGATAATTTATAAAGAGAAATTTCTGGAGAACAATAGTTTAATACTTCAGGTCCTGCAAACTTTGATCTTACTGAGCAGTGGTGGTATATATTTGGGATATACCATATACCAAAACAAATTAAAATATCTTTAAAAAGATAGAAGTTAATTTCTGTCATCAATGAGAGTCTTATTTATATTTTGGAGATAAGGTGGTACGGCTTTTCCTTATACTCATCAGAGACCGAGCTCTTTCCAGCCCACCACTCTTCCATCTTTACGATATAACCCCTGTCCTCCTATCCAGAACAGCTGTTAAACCAACAGGCATAAGATGCCTGCTTTAGCCAGCAGGATAGAAAAAGGGGAAAAGCAGGCCCACAAACAAAACTTTGCCACATGGATTTTCCTATCTGCAAGTGAGGCTAGGGCATGTCATCCTTTAATTTAGCAGCATTGTGACCAGATAGAAATAGAGTTCTTGTGATGAATTAGAAGGAGAAATGGGAGATTGTAAGGCTAGTGGCCTCCATTATGGGTGATATTCTCACCTAATAATTAAGCTGGTTTAATTGTTGGAAGATTAGAATGAGGTAAAATCTTTACTTGATTTTACCTTGTCCCCTTAAGTATGGGAATAGTGTGTCACTGAGCTGTTGTTTTTTTTAAAGAAAATTTTGTCATTGTGAAAAGTAAACAAATTAACATAGAAACAAGAATTAACACACATAACGAGCTTCATTAAAATCCAGTTATTTAGAGTGAACTTGTCCAGTTCTTTAGAGCAAGTCATGCTAACAAATTGTACTTAGCATAATTGCTGGGTTAATACTATCTCTTTTTTTCAGATTAAACATTTTTTATTTGCATTTATTACAGCAGTTGTCCTCTGCACTTGAAGTGGTGATACACTGTTTATTTATATTTTCTAGGACCCAGAATCAAGCCTTGATTCTTTCTACTGTATCTACCGATTGTCAAACTCTGCTACAAATATGCACAACACACACTGTTGTTTCTCTATTTTGTAGTATAAGAATCATCATTTCCTTGTTATTAAAAAAAAAATCAAATCTAAGGGGTTATGAGAACATGCAGAGTCTGTGGTTTTTGTCATTTGAACATCCTGGCAGTTTTGTTGTAGATATGTAACGACTTAAAGAGCTTTAAAGGTTAAAAGGAAGAGGTGTGAATTGTAGTGCTTCAAGTAAGTTTAGAGAGCATTCTCAGCCACTTCTCTCAGTCTGCCTATCACAACTTTACTGAAGGGCCAAAAATGAACAGTCACAAAAATATAGAGCTCCCTAAAAGTATTTATGAATTTATTCATAATCAAAATCTTCCTAGAACTATTTTACTGAAGTTACAAATATAGATTCATTCATTTGTCTTGAAAAATCAGTTGGAGATAATAGTACCCAACAAAATGTTGACAAATAAGGCAAAGGGAACTTGAACTGTCAGATGTGAAAAGTACCCATTATAAAATTAAAATCTGACCAAATATAAAAATGGATAGTTAATGAGACAGAATAAATAACTGGAAAAGATGCTCCAGTTTGTATAGCTACATAGCATCTGTCAGGACTGCCTGCACTGATGTGTATAATGTGGCTATACACAAAATTGGGTAATTATTTGTGAAAAATTAAAGTCGATTCCTATCACATGCCATACACAAAAATATTTCAGATGGATTCAAAAGTTGTTAACAAAAATGAAACCATCATTTAACTAATATCAAGGTGGGAGAAGGACAAAAATGAGAGAAAAACACAAAGGAAAAAAATGTTGATCACTTGGTTTCACAAAATACAACTTAAATTTATATATATGTGTATCCACATATATGTAAATGCATAGAAAAGAGATGGAAGAATACACATATACTCATTAAGGAAATGCAAATTAAAAACATAATTTAAAAAAGCACAATGAAATATCACCACATACCTATCACATTAGCTAAATTTAAAAAATTGTGGTAACACCAAATGGCAGGGATATGGAGAACTGCATCACTCATACATTGCTAATGGGAATCTAAATGGCACAGCCACTTTGGGAAAGACTGTGACAGTTTTTCACAGAATGACCATATGACCCAGCAATTGCATTCTTGAACATTTATCCCAGAGAAATAGAAATTTATGTTCACACAAAACCTGCATGTGCCTGTTCATAGCAGCATTATTCATAGAAGTAAAGAACTGGAAACAACCCAAATGCCTTTCAAAAGGTGAACAGTTAAAAGCAAACTGTGGTGCAGCTATACCATGAAATAAGACTCAGCAGTAAAAAGGGATGAACTGTTGATATGTGCAACAACTTGGATGGGTCTCACAGGAATTACAGTGGGTGAAAAGTCCATCTCAGAAGATGTATAATTCTGTTTATATAACATTCTTGAAATGACAAACTTAAAAGATGGGGAACTGATTTCCTCATTGTGCTATTGTATCGTAGTTGTACAAGATGTATCATAGGGGACATTGGAAGGGTTCTGCCTGTATTTATTCCAATTGCATGTAAGTCTTCAGTAATCTAAAAACAAAAAGTTCTCCCAAATAAGAATAAACAAACAAAAAATGAATGATCTTTCAACTCGAGAGGAAAGGGTCAAAAGACTCAATGGTGTGGGTAAGTAACTTGCCCAGAATCCCACAGCCTATGAGTAGCAGCACTTACATTTGAACTCAGATGTCTGACTTTGAAGTCTGTGTGTCCACAGCATGTGCCATCTTCCTGAAGGTCCCACTCAAGGTAAATGGCAGTCATTTTTACAGGCAGGCCTTGAAGCCAGTTCTCCAGACTAGAAAAGAAAATTGAAATCATATCTGAGGTTGTAGTCAGACTCTCCTCAACTGTGTTTTCCAAAAATATCTGGCAGTGCCTCTTAAACACCATCTGTGCATTCTCAATAAAATGCACATTCTAATTCATTCAGTCTTGGGTGGAGCCTGAAACCATCTAATAAGTTCCCAGGTGGTAACCCATAGACCAGTCACTGAGCAGCAAGGATAAAAGCTGTTCTGTCATAGCTGTTTGTACTTGAGGTGACTTCAGGAACACCTGGCAGGTATTCAGCACTGTAGATGTGGTTAGGATGTACCGGAGAGAGGATAGAAAGCATTGTCAGGCTGTAGTTAAGCATGGGGGTGTCTCCATAAGTGAAGGCTGTTGACAGGCATTTTGAGTGTGGAAAGAGAAAAAACCCAAGACTCAAAGCATAATGTTAAGGTGATGCTTTGGGGTCTGGTGCAGTGATAACAGCTGCTTGTTGGGAATGTGGTGCCCATGTCTACAGTAGTCATTTCTATGTAAAATAAATGACTAAGGTACAAAGCATATTGTGCCCACATCCCAGACTGTCATCATAGTGATGATAGTGATCATTGAACCTGACAGCTCTCATTCCATCCATTTAGTATTTGGGGACTTGATTTGCCCTGTTATCTAAACTGGCTAGAATCAGAACATTCCCAGCTCCCATTTATTCAAGGGTATGCGTGAAACATTGTGCCCAGAAGTCTTAGATGCCCTTCTTCCAAAGTCAGGCTTTAATTATTCATGCTTTTATCAGGCTTATGCAAGGTGCCATGTTTTCTGAAGTAAGTAAAGCTTGGTGTGGCTTTGTTATGATGGGAAATTAACAAATGAGTATGAGAGCTGGGTAAATGAAGTGTGAAACCGTGTGGTGTTTCACAGTGTGAGCTTCTTTCGTGGTCTCTATTTTTTCATGCCCTAGTTCTCATCTAGTGCACATTTGCTTATGGGTCAACAAGCCCATAGGCTGTAGTAGTTTCTTTAAAACATCAGGCCTGAAGGGTGGAACACTGTGTAACTACACCTCTGGCCAAGTGACAAGGCCCTAATTTCATGGGGTGTTGTGCTGACTTGCTTCTAAAGACGAAGTCGATGCTTTTCCTTTTCCCTCCTCCCTCGGCACAGTCCCTGATGGTGGAGATACAGATGCACTAAACTATCCTTGAGAAGCTTACTTCCTCACACTCTCTTGCCTCTGATCTTGCCCCCGACCTCCCCCACTTCAGCCTCCACATGATGGGTGGAATGCCCTGCAGCACACCTGGGACCCACCAGCTACAGGATGCTGACTAACGAAGCTGGCACGGATCAGGAGGCCTGCTGGGCATGGGCTCTGGCCCTTCTTTCAGCCTCATTGCCCAGCCCTCCCTCTTCAGTATTCCTGGCGCTCTAGCTGTATTTAACCATGTGTAGTTTTTATCCTCAACTTGCTCTCTCCTGCTTCAAGGCTTATCTGTAGGCCATTTCCTCTCTTTTGGATGCTTTTTCACCCCTGGCCACCTTGTGGACACCTGGTGCTTACAGCTATGGCTCCTCGATGAAGCTGCCTGTCTTAGTCAAGGCTGGCTGGTTTCAAGAACAGGAACTCAAATGACCACAAATAAAACTGTTTATATAAATGAAAGAGGAGGCCACTTTGTGGACATTCCCAAATAGAAAGGGAAATACACTAGGATTCGGGGGATAAAACCCCAGTCAGGAACCCAGGTTGCTCCCATGGTATATTCTGGCTTCTGTCACCTACCTGTGCGTGTGCTCTTTTGATTTGCAAAGTGAAGTCCTGGCTTCTCTGCTCTGTTGACACTTCAGCTTGCTCATGGCTTTGCTTTGGCTAAACCCTGACATCAGTTTGGCCCTGATTCCACATAAGTTTTCGATTCAGCTAACATCTCATTTTCCCAGTTTCACATTCTCAGGAAGAGAGATTTGGATCAGCCCAGTGGACTCAAATGGCTCAGTGGCTACAGCCGAGAAGGGGACCTTACGTATCCAGGGCACACCTTTTAGAGCTACTTGGTGCTGTTGCTCTGATACCACCATTCAGAGGGAGATGAACCTTCTTCTCGCTCCCAAGCTCCACTTTCCTGAGCTCCTGAATATCCAGTATTACTTGATCCTTCATTCAAATGTTCTCAGACTTTAGGGTGTAGCACCTCATTTCATATTAAGAAACCCTTTTCCAGATTCTGGGGTTGTTTCCCTCTCAAGGTTTCTTTGCTAAGTGAGAAGAGAAAAGTCACTTTTTGGAATGGTCACACTCTCAGTGATATTATTATAATTTTTTTTTTTTTTTGTGAGTGCAGGAAACTCAACTCTTTGTTTACTTGGGAAGAAAAAATTATAATAAAATTTAGAAGAAAATTAGATTTTTTAAAGTCCCTGTGCTGTGAAAATGTATCTACTTGAGTGAGCTAAAGATAGTAAAATTACATTAGGTTAATATCATTCAGCTCCCAAAACTACTTCCTAAGACTATTCCAGTGAGAGTGCTTTAGATGATAAGGGGGAAAATTTTTCCAGAAAAACTTATTTAAGTGGAAATATCCTAAAGAAACTCAACTAAAGCTGACATCAGTCAGAAAATTATGGAGTTTTTAAATACATACCACATTGTACAAATTCTTCCATGATGCCCTATTTTGAGAATTTCTCTTACAGAATACCAGTTCTGTAATAGGGAGAGAAAGAATATGGTGAGGGTTTACTGATCGTTTTTTGAGGGGCCTCGTCCAAATAGGCTGTATGATCCTCCTGACAGACCTCTTGCTCTGTGCTGGGGTTTGCAGGACTCACGGAATGATTTTTCACTGTGGTGTCAGAAGAGAAGGTATACCTGAAGAGAAGAATTGGGTAAATTCTTTTGAGTTACAGAATTATTGAATATGTTCTTTTTCTTTCTCCTCACAGCCTCTCCCCCACCCCCACCCTCCTTCCCACCCTTGACCAGGAGCCACAGAACTTGACTGTGCCTTAGTTTTCCATCTCTTAGTAGAGGATATTGATACTTGTTATGCTTGCATCTTATGATTATTTTGGGAAATCACGTGAATGTATCATATAAACTGTGATGTTTTAGAAAAATGAGACACTGTTAGGGCCTAGTATGTGCAGTGAAGGGAAAAAAAGATGCTTGACACATAGCCCCTGCCCTAAAGCATTAGCAGTTAGCCTGGGAGTCAGGCTCTCCACCTGAACCTTCAGAGTCAAAACATTCAGAGTAGGGCCTGGTCCTATTTTAAGCCTCCTCTCCCCAGATTATTCTTACTGGGAAAGTTTTGGAAATACCGACAGAAGATTGAACCCTAATTTTCTTTATTCATGAAATAGGGGATAAAACAAAAATATCTACCCAGTAGATCATGACAAAGCAGGAATAAGGTACCATTCCTGAAAGTACCACATGGTGCTTAGAACATGATAGGTGCTTAATAAGTGGTAGTTTCCCTTCCTTTCAATGAGATGAAGAGGGAATTGACAGAACCCAATAGGAAGTACAAAGAAAGTGTCCTGGTGGTTCAGAGCCATAGGAAGAAGAGCTTGCCCTTTGGGAAGGAGTGGGAAGGAGTTCCCTCTGCTGGCCTACCACTGTGCAGTGTGAAGTGCCCTGGTCAGTAGGTAGGCTCTGGCATCTCACAGAACTTGGTCCTACAGAACTTAGTTTCAAGTCCTGCCTTCTCCATTTAATAGCTGAGTAACCTGCAACATGTCACTTAACATCATTTGTATGATAAGGATAATAATACAACCTAACTAAAAAGGTTCTGAGGCAATAAAGCACTCATTCATTCATTCAACAAGTATTTTTGAGCACCTACTCTCTGTCAGGCATTGTTCTGGATGCTACAAGTACAGGAGTGAGCAGGGCAGCAGCTGAACACCACTGTAGAGTCTGTTCCCAAGGAAAGGGAGCCATTGTCATGCTGTGACAGTCTGCCGGCCCCATCTAGACCCGAGCAGGTAAGCTTAGGTGAGGACAGCCTTGACCTGGAGAGCAGAGCTTCTCAACCTGGAGAGTTTCAAAAAGCGACACATTCTTTGCCCCTCCCCCAGGGGTTCTGACTGAATAGGTCTGGATTTAAGCATTGATATAGATACATATTTTTAAGCTTCACAGATCCTATAGTCAGAAGATTCTAAGGCCAAGCAAGCTTATGACTTTATTTATACAATCTAATTTTGCTTCAGAAACAGGCTTCCATCTCCCAGTTTGCTTTCAAAAGTGCTTTGAAGTAGCTCAGCAGGTAGACATAGATGAGGTTTTTGATACTACAAGACTGAGGCTAGAGCCTATTGGACTTTTGGGAGCAGTTCCTGTCTTCCTGACTGATCCTCAAGGGAGAATGTTTTTTTAAAGCAAAAGAGGTAGAACTCTTTCATGGTTATTGTCTTCCTTTGTCTTCCCAGAACCCCTATGAGGTAAAAAGGGAAAGAATAGCTTTGGTTGTTCTCTGTAATATTTGTAATTAGATTGAGTGCTGGAAAATTGCTTCTCAGAGCAATCTGGAACACAATACACAGACTTGAATTTGCTTGCTTCAACAGCACATTCAGGAATGTTCCTTTACCATTAGTGAATCTACAGTTAATGGGATAGTCAGGTCTATACTAAATCTAAATGGATTTGAATAATCTACCTCTATATCGCCTCTCAATTAAGATATAGTTTACTCAAAGACTCAAAATACAGTCTAATTGTATTATAGGTATTGGGGAATCCCACTGTGATCCTGAATAAATAGCTAAAGCATACATTTTAAGTCTCTAAAGTATTCCTAGAATCCAGTGGAATTAGATAAGCAAAGAAATCAGGGGAAAGTATATGGAAATGCTTTTGCCACAGATTAAGTGTTTCTTGTTTGTTTATGCACCATTAATTAAAGGCATTTATTTTGAAATATCCAGTTACACTGTTATACCTAGGTTAACAAAATTAAATAGAAACTAGCCTTTTTCCATTGAAAGAGGCACTGTATATGCCAAGGTCATAGAGTAGTGGAGGTTTGGTGATATTTTCGTTACAAAAGCTGCCTTGAAATACCACCACCAACAAAAATAAATGCTACTGCATTTTACCACTGTTGTGCTACTTAGAATTAAACATTTAGTTGTTTTCCTAAGGAAGGTAAGTATTAAGTACCTTATTTTACACTTTCACTATTGAGAGTTGTTTGTTCCTGCTTTCGGATTCCTTGGACCTATGACATAGAAACAAAGAAAAAATCACCAACATTTTGGATGTTTTTGGTGCCATTCAATTTTTTTGCTCATCATATTTTTATGCTCTGTTTACTGTTTGAGTCTTAAACATGGTGCCTTACCTAGAAATCTTGAGGCTGTATCATAAATTTCAGAGTGTATAGTTGGAAAATGGCTATCGAATAATGAAACTATAATAAAAAATGAAAAACTACTGAAGGATTGCACAGCACAATGCAGAGAGGTTAAGAGCCAATATAATCTCATTGGCTGGCACAGATGACAGACAGACGGTGACTCTGATGTGTCCAGGGTGCTCAGCAGAATGCGGGCCGTGGCAGCAATGTGTTCTGTCTTTCATGGAAGTAGCCTCGGCGAAAGTGTGCTTTGACCTAGAGCCTCTGCTAGCATACTGCCTTCGTTCACCCCTTAACTGGAGTCCCTGCCAGAAGCCCTAATGCGAATCTCAGCGGCTTCCTGGACCTTTAGAAACTGCCCTAGCTTGCCCTTAGGGACCTCCCCTTCCCTCACTGCCTTGGTGGTCATGATTTTTGACACATGGCATTCAGTATATGCTGCCCTGAGTTATTAGTTTCCTCTTTAATTACATAATTAATGGATGGTTCAATGATAGATTTCTTGTCCCTAGTGCAGAAGGCCTACAAAATGCTTTTCTTTCAAGACATTATGTTAGGAATTGAAAAAGCACCAAACTAATAGATGGGAGACATTTTATCCCTGGTTCTGCTCTGAACGTGGACAAGGAACTTTTAGCAGAGCACTTAACCTACCTTATTTCTTTCCTCAGCTATTTTATAAATGAGGAAATTGAACTACATAATCACCAGGTAATCTACTTTAAAATTGTATTTCTGGGACTTCAAGTTCAATGTGGCAGATTGAGTACATGATTTTTGTCTTCTTTACTTCCCAAATCCCTCTAAAAAGGATGGAAAAGGAATTTTAGAAGTTATAAACCTGCAAAGATAAAGAGAATAGGAGAGATTCCACAGCAAGCAGGATATGAACACATATTTGGAAAGTGGAAACTAGAGGACTAATAACAGATTTAGTATAACTATAGCAGTTGTTGTTTTACTGCCCTCGAGAGGCAAGCCCATACGAGGCAAGCTGAGCAGCCTCAAAAGCCACATGACAGGTTCAAGCTTGGTGGTACCAGGACCACGGAAATTCCGGATGCCATATGGGACTGAAGCTGGGGAATTAGTGTGGGAGTCTGCTCCAGCCACCTCTGCCTGCCGTTCCCAGAACACTTGGCAACATATCCCAACCTTTCAGGAGACAGGCAGATTCTTTTCTAGAGACTCGAAAAGCCCCCATGATTTAGAGAGGTGTCTGACTTGAAAAGAATTTTTAAGAAAAAAAAATGAAAGGGAACTCAGTTGGAACTTCTCAGTTGGAACTCAGTAGAGAGGAATAGAAAATAGAAAATGCTGAATGGGAAAGTTGAGGAAATCTCTAAGAAAGGATGAAAATAAAACAGAGACAATAGAAAGGAAATGGTAGGAATATTTGAGGAGCATTCCAGCAAATCCAACATCCACATGTAGGAGGTATAGAAAAGATAGAGATAATTGGGGAGAAAATTGTCAAAGAAATACGTAATTTTATTTCTTAATAGCGTAATTCATAAATCTTTAGATTAAAATGACCTAGCAAACTGAATGAAAAATGCTTAAGAGAATGAATGAGAAAAGACACATATTAGGATATATCAGTAAAAGTTTCAAACTGGATGCTAAAGAGAAAATTTTTCAAAGCTTCTAATGGGGTGGAGGTTGGGAGATTGAGAGAAAGAACAGATAAATCATGAAAAAATCAGAAAGAGAATGGTGTCTGACTTCACAACAATAGGATTATAAGAAAGAAGGTAGAAGAGGAATATACTTTAAATTCTTAGAGGAGATGATTGTCATCTTGTAAATCTGTATCCAGCCAAACACAATGAAGGGTGTAACTAAAATAAAGATAATCCAAACAAGGTTCAGGAACTATATCATAGTAAAGATAAAAAGGTGTACAAGAAAGTTAACAATCATAGGACAATTACGTGGCTCAGTGGAAAACAATAGTTACATAGCTTTCAATTTAAATATTGATTTTGCTAAAAATTGTGCCAAGTCTATTAGAAAGCTGGTGGAATGGGAAGGTGGGGGGAGGGTGGTATAAGAGACTTAAATCCTCATCTTCCGAAGTGTGAAGTAAATAGATAATAGATAGAACTGTGAGTTGGTTAAATAAGAACATCAACATATTTGGAATAATGAAGGTAAACACCAGAAAAGTGTACTAAAAGAGTGGCAAAAAGTTGGATCTGAGTAGGGCTTGAGGTAGTTGGGCAGAGGACTGCTGTTTTCACTGTGGGATTTTAGTACTATTTGACCTTTAACTATGTGTATATACTACTTTGATTTTTAAAAGTCGATTTGCTGTTTCTAAAATTTTGTATTATTCAAATTTGGTGTGTATAATTTTTCTCAAACTTTACTGTGAAACCCTTTGCATCCCTTGTTCCCATTCATTTGCTTAACATTTATTGAGTATGTCAGTTTTGGAACAAGTAGAATGAAGCTCCTGTCTCCCTGGATTAAAAAAACAAGAAAGAGCTTTTTTCTTTCTTGAGGCCTTAGCAAACAGTACATTGGGTAGGAGTAGGCATGAGTGTGTATTGAAGTTCACACCCATACTTCTCTGTAAATCATATAAACTTCATAACCTACATCCTTCTGAGTAGTTGTGTAGTAGTTAAATTTGCCCACTTGATCTGGTTCTTCTGCCTTAACATTCTCTTTTCATGTAAATATGGGTAATTTCTAAATTCAAGTCGTCTGCCTTCATCAGGGACTTTCTGGGCTCAAGCTGATGGAGCAGGCACTCTGTGAGCATCAACCCACTACTGAGTTGAGGGGTGGAGTTTTTCAGTAGGTCACATAGAAGGAAAAGAGGGGAAAGAGCATGTGGTGAATTACAGCACTATAGCTTTTAAAACTCCAGCTTGTATTGACAGAATTCACCTCTGTTCCCCTTTTATTGCTTAAAGAAAGTCACATTCCCATTCGATGGACAGTATGTGTGACTTCCCTACCTGGAAAGTTACGCTGCAGTGAGGTGTGTCTCTCTTACAGCAGATACAGTGCCCTACAAAATGGGACTTTTGGGAAATTTTGACATAAAGAGTAGAGAAAAAAGAAATATGGGTTAGAAAAAAAAAAGCAGCTGTAACCATTGACTACTATTAGGTCTTGGATTCAGTGAATTGTTTTGGAGGGCAAATATGAGGAGACAGGAAACTCAAGTTAGCAGTTCCATTTTGGTAAAGCAAAAAGCAAACTAATGTACTGATTGAGTAAGTGTGGAGCAGTAGAAGCATAGGATGGAGAGAACCTGAAACTAAGTGTGTGGGGAGAACTCTGCACAGTCATCAGATGTACTCTCCAAAAAGTTTTGAAAATACTATTTTATGTGCATAAAAGTGTGATTGCTTCTCCTTAGAATTTTTCTATAATTGTATTAATGTTGATTGTCTCCTAAGGAGAAAGATTCAGAAGGTTTCAGGAGTGAGTGAAGTACTTAGGTTGTGTGGTGTATGTATTTTGATTATGTATTGAAATATAATTAAACTTAAATATTTTAATGATATCTCATTTGCTGTATCCTTGAAGGATAATTGTAACTCAGTAAGGAATTGCCTGCCTCTCTAGTGTGTTTTGTTTTTACATAACAAAGGCTTCCTTAATGACCTTTTTCTCATCAACAGTGTAATACCATAGTGATTTAAATATCAGAATGAAAAGGAAATTTTAATATAGTTTTATTCTTTTTAAGGTAAATTTATACTGCTTAATCCATTTATTTTTCTGGCTTTAAAATTTCTTTTGTTTAAGATAAAAACTTTGTGTTAAAGATGTTGACCTCTTTGACAGCAGGCAAATTTTTGATATTTTATGAAAAGATAAAGAAACAATTACAAAGTTTCAGGAACAAGAAATAAACTACTTTTTAAACATCTTAAAGCAATTCTGAAGCCTTGAGTACAAGACCAAGACAGCATATGCTAGTGCTGTATTTTTAACAACGGGGAATGAAATTTCACCTTTTTATCTTAACTGACTTAATTGATCAAATAATTTATAGTATATTTTTCTATCGTTTAACTCCACTTATATTTAACAATATCGTTCTTTCATTCCTGTCATTTGACTTATCTTTCTTTAGTCATGGATGAAGATATCATGAAATAAAATGCAAATTCCACCATGCCAAAAGAGCAGTAATAGGGACAGAGCTTTCCTAGGTGGGTATCAGCATGACCAGCCCAGAAGCTGCCTTCCCAGTTGGTATCCATTCCTAAATCAAGGAAGTGGTCATCTGCCAGCCATTATGATAGTGGAAATGACCAGCTGGTCAAGCATGGACCATTAATTTTGAATGTATTGATAGAGACATAAATTTCTCCGAAAATCATGTCACAAGATCAAACAGTCAGCTTCTTTTAAGTACATTCTGATATACCTCAAGGCTGATTATTTTACAGTTTAATTTTGTCTATGGAATTTTAAAAGGTGTGGTGATGACCTTACCATATTTTAAAGTAACAATAAGTGTATGATCATTTTGTAACTACTGTACCTTTATGAACAGTATATACTAAAAAGCTTAAAATCTGATTTTTTTCTATTTGGTTTCTATTTTTACTAAATATTTAAACATATTCTGTTTCAAGAGATAACAGTCTATAGGTGGAATTACTGGAATTACTGGCAGGCAGTATATTGTTTGCTTTATCAATAGAGTTTTGCATATTGTCATGAGTTAGTTGTATTATGATCCAAGTTTTTTAATCTGCATGATTTCATTATTTGAAAGAGAGACTTAATCTTACAATAATAGAAGTTCCTTTTAATGGTAAGTAAAATTTAAAAAAATAAAATTTCATATATGCTAACTTTTAAAATTCCATTTCAAAAGCGCCATCTTCC